ACCAACTGTATGGTACAGGGTTCGGGAGAGTAGCCTATCTGCATATTCTGAAAGGCCTTCGCTCAATGTCTTGTAATAACATATAATGGAAAAGGATCTGAAAAAAAATATGTATGTAGATGTACAACTGAATTGCTTTGCTGTACATCTGAAACTAACATTGTAAATCAACTACACTCCAATTTTAAAAAGTCAAAAAAAAAGAATTTGCTCAGTGTTGAGCAAAAATAAAAATTAACTTAAGTAATGAAAATGTATGTGTGTGTGTGTGTATACACACACATATGTAGATACATATTTTAAAATTTCCTCAGAGTTAAATACAGTGGAAGGTAGATAGTAGTTGTCCCTTATTGGAGGTTTCACTTTTTGCAGTTTCAATTACTTCAGGTCTGAAAATATTAAATGGAAAATTCCAGAAATAAACTTCTTAAGTTTTAAATTGCGTGCTGTTCTGAGTAGCATGATGAAATCTCATGCTGTCCTACTCCTTCCTTTCCAGGATGTGAATCATCCCTTTGTCCAGCATATCCATGCTGTATATGCTGAAGGGAAAAACATAGCATACATAGAGTTTGGCACTCTCCATGGTTTCAGGATTTGGAATGTATCCCACACAAATAAGAGGGGACTACTGTACCATTGACAAACCATTTATAAGGATGATGGGGTAAGAGGTGACCATAATATTCAAAGAATTATGCATATTTCATGTGTTCCCTTGATCATATCTTTGGTGACTCCTTGTGACAATGACAAAGTCAACATAAAACCTAGTAGATATGAACTGAGGTGAAACGCTGTTAAATTCAAACTAAAGCAAATGTCAGTCATCATTCATAGTTGCTTGGAGGCGTTATAAAGAATGAAATCAACATTTTTACTGAGGGAAAAATGTGCAAAATTAGTGTGCAAAGCCTTTAACACATTTTGCTTTAAAGTGTATCTTACTATATATTGATAAGGGGCTAGTTGAGTAAATTATGGTGGATAGCACCATGCTGTCCAGTAATTAAAAAGAATGAGAGAGATACACCACCCTCATACATACATACGCATACACTCTCACACACTGATGTGGAACAATCTCTAAGAGCTATCTTTCAGAGAAAACTAAAGCAAGCAAAATAATGTTTGTGGCATGCTAGTGTTAGTATTTATTTGTGTGGGAAAAAAAGGGGGACTCTGTACTTGTTATACCCCAATTACCTCTAAGTTTGTTATTTGTTTTTTAAGTATCTTTTTGTATTTCTGAAAATTTTTAACACACGTGTATGTTATCTTTTTAAAAATTGTGGTAAAAAATACATACAATTTATCATCTTAACCATTTTTAAGTGCATGGTTCCGTAGTGTTAAGTATATTCATATTGTTGTGCAACAGATTGCCAAAACTTCATTTTGCACAGTTGAAACTCTTATACCCATTAAACAGCAGCCCCTCATGTTTCCCTCCCTCTGACCCCTGGTAACAACCCTTCTACTTTCTGTTTCTAGGAATTTGACTCTTTTAGATACCTCCTGTAAGTAGAATCGTATAGTATTTGTCGTCTTGTGTCTAGCTGATTGCACTTAGCAGAATGTCTTTGAGGTTCATCCATGTTGTACCGTGTAATAGAATTTCTTTCTTTTAGGCTGAATAGTATTCCATTTTGCGTGTGTACCAATTTTCTTTATCTAGTCATCTGTCAATATATTGTCTTTTGTACAATTTTTAAAGTACTTTGCTTCATTTTATAATTATGAACCTGAAAAGCTGGATGTAAATGTGTGTGTGGAGGGGTGGTAATAGGAAGAGGGGTTGGGGATTGGTTAAATGGTATCTCCCTAAACTTCTCAGCAAGGAGAAAGATCCCTTTTTCTAGTGAATAATTCCCAACTTCATGTCTTAGATTTTTGTATTTGAGATTTTTCTTGAATTGAAACACATTTCTACTAAGAATAGAACTAAAAAGGGAGATTGTGTTTGAAATAGAAGATACCTCTGTATGCCAGGATTTTCCCACCATTTGTCTTACTTGTTTTACAACCTCCATTTATCTTAATAGCACCTCTCTTACACTAGAAATGTGTAAAATGAGTCCCCCTTTTTATTGAAGTGTAGTGGATTTACAATATTAGTTTCAGGTGTACAGCGTGGTGATTTGGTGTTTTGCAGATTATACTCCATAAGTTAAAAGATAATGGCTATAATTTCCTGTGCTATAGTATATCCTTGGTGCTTATTTGTTTTTTACATAGTAATTTGTATCTGCTAACCCCATACTCCTAATTTGTCTCTCCCCACTTTTCTCTTCCCTTTGGTGACCACTAGTTTGTTTTCTATATCTGAGTCTGTTTCTGTTTGACGTATACACTGGAGTACCCCTTTTTAATAACATGTTTACTGTGTGTTGATTTTTATTTTTCCAAATGGAGTAAATTCTTTAAGCATGAGGCATGTCTTATGATTATATCCTGTAGTGATGAGCATAATAGAAGTTGCTATTGACTACATATCAAGGAAGACAAGGGAGGGGTGGGGAAAGAGGAAGAGACTCCTCTAACGAGATGAGTGCTTTGGATTTTCTCTGATTTCATTTTGTGTTCTTCACTAGTGAAGAATTTCTTCCACTTGCAGACCAAGTGTGTTGGAGGATTTGTGTGTGTGTGTGTGTGTGTGTGTGTGTGTGTGTGTGAGTGTGAGAGAGAGATGTTCCCGGCCCAGGAAGGAGAGCAGAAGCTGGAATGAGGCCTTGAAACTGTGGCCTGATAGTATGTTGTGAGACTTCTGTGTTGCAGCCTTGAGAAGAATCTCGTATCTTGGGTAGTCACCTGTCAGCAGGGCAGCTGGACCTGTGTCTGCCTTAGGCTTCTTAAATTTAGTAGCACATAGTAGGAATGTTTGATAACACATAGATATGTTGATAATAATAATGTTGATAGCACATAGATAGGAATGTTTTATCATTTTGATAAAAATGATTTGTCATTTTTGGTGTAAGTATATGAAAGCACTTAACATGGGGCCTAGCGTATAGCAGGTATCCAAGAAGTGACAGTATTTGAGAAATATTTTGAAATAGTTGTCTTTCTCTAGGTGCCCTATCTCTACTCATGTGCCTCCACTCTTACCCTCAGGCTAAAGAAATAGGGAATAGCAACATGGATTCCACCTTTAGGAAGTTGCCAATTTTTTGTTTGTGGCTTTATGCTCAAGCAGGAAGTATAAACAGCTGCTACGCATTTGAGAGCAAATATATCTGGACCCTGTCCACCAGGTTACTGAAAACTTCATCCCAGCTGAAAGTGTCCCACTAGCATGGCTGGTCACCCTGGGTAACTTTCTTGGTAGGGACCTAGTCTGAGAATCTTGATGGGGAAGTCTGTGACTCTCTAGGGTGGTTGTGGCATAGCTGGGATAGTTTGTTGGGTGCAGGCATGGAGGAAGGGATATGGTAGGAGGGAAAAAGGGCTCAGCTCTGTGTCACTTTCTCCTCATAGGAAGATACAGGCACTCATGGGCCAGGGTCGGTGTTCTGGCCTGCTGTGTTTTGTCACCTCCTTGTAAATGTCAGTCTTGCTCCTGGCTGCCCTGCAAGGCATTTAGGGTTTAGTAGGAGATGTAATAAGGAATCTAAATCAGATAGTCTTGCTTCAAATCTTAATAGATCTGCAGGGCGAAAATATACCTCCCGGGATGTTTTCCATGTGCTGACACAGGAATCCCATCCAGATCTGTGAGTTTCCCTCCATCCTTCTTACCCTTCTCAGCTTGCCTTGATCTTAAGCTTTTATCCTTTTCACCTTACCGTTGGCCTGGCTTCTGGGAAAAGCAGGGTAAAGGGTGAGGGAGGATGGGTTGAGTGAAGGAACTTGGGGGCAATATGTGGATTTGTTGTCTTAAATCCTCTGGAACAAAGTGTAGGTGTGGGGAGGAGGATGAGTGAGTGGGTGGGAGAACACACACATGATGCCTGTACCACTTGTCTGGCACTCAGCCTGGACCCTTGCTTGGTATTATCAATCTCGGTGGTGTTCCTCTTTCTCATTAAAAGCATAAGCATGTACATGCATGTAATTTCATATTAATGGAATCATATCTTAAGACTGTTTTTCTTCTTTAATACTATGTTGTAATTGTTTTCACCTTTTCCCCCAGCTGCATTGAGATATAGTTGACGTATAACATGATGTAAGTTTAAAGTATACAATGTGATGATGTGTGTCTATTGTTCATCGATTACCACAATATTGTTAACACATCCATCACCTCACATACTTCTTTTTGTGTGTGTGGTGAGAATCCTTTTTTATTTGATTATGTGTTATAGACACCTTTTCATGTTAGTAAAGTACAGAATAAATGACTGAATTATATTTCCATGGGTGGATATATCATAATGCATTTTATTCTCTAGTATTTAATATATTTATCTCATCTCTAATCAATGGGGCCTTCCCTGACTCTTTTACTTAAAATTAGTAACAACTTCCTTTTCTTTTCTATTTCCCTTTTTTCCTTTACTTTTCTTTATAGCATTTAGCACCACTTGATATAGTATATATTTTTCTTATTTGTTTATTGCCCAACACCCTCCATTGGAATGTAAGCTCCATGAAAACAGGGATCTTGGTTTTTTTTTTTTAATCCACTGCTCTGTGCTTAGAGTTTAGACCATTTCCTGGTATACCAGTGGTGCTCAATAATATTTGCTGAATGAATGAATTTGCTGGATTTTTGGTGTGCCTGTTGGGCTTATTTGTAATATTTTTATTATGTATATTCTGTGGTAAGTATGTTGGTATGTAATCTTTATACAGTTGTCTAGTATCTCCTTAGGATAAATTCCAAGAAATAGAATGACTGAGTGAAAGGATATGCACAGTTAAAATGTTTATTCATGTAGCAAAACTACCCTTAAGAATGCTAACTTATACCAACAGCGTGTGAGATTGCCTGTTTCTCCGCATCATCAATAACACTGGCTTGCATGTTTTTCGTCTTCCCCACTTGACAGGTGGTCTTGTCACCGTAACATGGTAGTTGAGAGTGTGACTCTGGAGCTAGCCTGATGGGGCCTGAATTCTGACTCAGCCACTTATTGTGTGACCTTGGGTAAATCATTTAACTTCTCTGTCTCTCAGTTTCATCTTTGGTAAAGTAGGAATAATTACAGCACCCATTTCATGAACAGTAAATTACTTAATCCAAGTAAAATGCTTTGATAGTAACTGAGATATGGTACTCAATAAATATAACTTAATTTACATTTCTTAGAATATTATATCTTTTCAAATGTATTTTGGACGGCTATATCTATTTTTTGAATCACTTATTCAAAATTTTTAGGGGGACACTATTTAACCCAGTACAGAGCACCTACCACATGAAGAGTTTATGTATGTAAGGTGCGTATTTTCCCAGTAATATTTTCTTTGTACATTTTCTGAGTAGTATTTTCTTTTTTTAACATTTTTATTGATTTATAATCATTTTACAATGTTTTATCAAATTACAGTGTAGAACACAATTCTTCAGTTCTACATTAACACATGTATATTCATTGTCACATTTTTTTCTCTGTGAGCTACTGTAAGATCTTGTATATATTTCCCTGTGCTATACAGTAAATATTTTCTTAACAATTTGTAAGAGCTAAGTGTTGACAGAATTGCTCCCAGTTTGTCATTTGTTTTTCAACTTTGTTTATGCAATTTAAAAAACTGTTTTGGTGGGGAGTGGAGAGGTAATTAGGTTTATTTATTTATTTATTTATTTTAATGGAGGTACTGGGGATTGAACCAAGGACCTTGTGCTTGCTAAGTAGACGCTCTACCACTGAGCTATACCCTGACCATGCAATTTTTAAATCTATCTGTAAGTTTGACTTTTTTAGGTAGTTGAAATAACCTTTTTCCCTCATAGTTTTTTTTTTTTTGCTACTAGGCCAATGTTTAGAAAAGGCGTGCTTCCCTATCTCAAAATTATAAAAATAGTTATTCATTCTCTTTGAGTGCTTTGTGTGGCTATGTATTTTTAAATCTTTATAAACTTAAATCTTTGCTCCATCTGGGATTTATTTTGATATGAAGATAGCATTTGAGATCTGGCTCTTTTTCTTTTCAGTAGTGTCCCAAACCCCTTTTCTGAAGGAACAGGAGTAGGAGCCTTTAATCTGTTCTCTCTTCCCCTTATTTGAAAGTAGGCTGTCCTAGCGATAGCAAATAGCAAATCTCCATTTTAGAGAATGAATTTAATGGTTGGACTCTGTCAGTAGTCATGCATTTGCTGAACTGTGGGGTGAATATGCTGGTGAAGCGGTTTGGGATCAGAACTCGCAGCCTGACTCAGTGATGGGGCTGCTGTGCTCCTTGGTGCAGCTTCTCTGCTGGCTCTGGGAGCTCCTCCTTAGTGGCCCTAATTTGGGGACTGCTTTGAAGGGGCCATTGTTAGTTTGGAATGACAAGTTCTGTGTTGTTTAGAAAACAAATGAGGTGACTGTAGCAGGTATTTGTTCACTCCAGTCTAGGGAGTATTGATAGGTATTGATAGAGAGGGTACTGAATGGTGAGAACCCATTGTGTTCTAGCTCTGCCCTCATCTGCTCCTTTTGGGCTCTAGTGCTGCCCAGTGTCTTGCTTCTGACTCATGATGGAGGGAGGATGATTATTCCATAACAGGTGCTCTGTACTGGCTTGAATAGTGTCCCCCTGAATATTCTTGTCTACCCAGAACCTGTGAATGTGCTCTTATTTGGAAATAGAGTCTTTGTAAGATGTAATCAAGTTATGGTGAAGTCATACTGGATTAGGATGGGCCCTAATCCAGTGACTGGTGTTCTTATAAGAAGAAGGAGACACACAAAAAGAAGATGAGCATGTAGAAATGGAGGCAGAGATTAGAAATATGCTGCCACAAAGAATGATAAAGGTTACTGACAACCATCAGAAGCTGGAAGAAGCAAGGAAAGATTCTTCCCTTGTACCTTCAGAGGGAGCATGGCCCTGTTGACACTTACATTTTGGATGTCTAGCCTCCAGAAATGTGAGGGAATAAATCTCTGTGTTTAAAGTCACCCAGTTTGTAGTATGTTACCCTAGGAAACCATGCTCTTATTATCATGCTCTTATTATCATCTCCGTTTTCAGTAAGGAAACTGAGGCCCTGACAGATCAAATACTTGGAAATCTCTTCCCGCCACTGCTCTGCTGGCTGGGCACTCATTCTGAAGCCCCTGCTATTGTTCTTATCAGCTGTTCACCCTCACCATGGCCTTCGGCTTTTGGTAGTACTGGGGCTGAGCTGCTCAGATGGCTCCTGTCTCTAACGCAGCATGCCACAGCACTTCCTCATCCCTGCCCACTTCACACCCTAAAGCAGGCATGCCTGTCAGGAGACTTCTGGCTGTATTCTGATCATTTTAGCAGGTCTCTTCTTGGCCCCACCCTTCCAGGTGAAATCAGGCTTTGTTTTCATTTTCTTGCAATGTCAGAGAAGTGTCAGCGACAATTTGAAGGAGGGTCACCCAGCTTCTTCTGGCACTTGTTTTTATGTTCCCCATTTCTGGCCTGCTGTATTTCTTAGAATTCTTGTCAGTAGGCAATTCAAGTCTTTTTTCTTTTTGGAGCTTTCCGGATCTCACATATAGCTCACATGGCACATGTCACAGTTCATGGCTGTAAGCAGAGATGGAGCAGCTTCACAGTAGTCCTGGTTGTGAGGGCCCTGGGCACTTGTTCTTGGTTAATTCAACCCAGCACAGTGGCTCTCTCCCTTGCCAAACAGAGTGGGAGGATAAGGGTATTATTTGACCCAGCTCATCTTCCTGAACAGGACCTTGTCTGCATGGTCTCTTCTCCCTCTGCATCCCATTGCTGTCCACAGAATCTTGCCTGTTTCCCAGTATAGACCTTTTGCTTTGGATCCTGATCGTACTCTCTACTCTTTTCACTGGGCTGTGAGTTCCGGGAACTCAGGAACCATATCTGTTTTGTTTGCTGCTGTATCCAGGACTGAGTAAAGACTTGGCACTTACTAGCCCCTGAAGAAATGTTTATTGAATGAAGAAATGAATATTGACCTTGAAGCTTTGGAATCCTGGTTTTCCTTGCTTCTTGCTGAAGCCAGTGACTAGATTAGTAACTTTAGAGGGCTACGTAATAGAAAGATTATGATGTCCCTCATAATTTCAGCCCTCAGTATTTATTTCAAAAACAATATTAAACACAAAAAACTATAAAGAAATCTAGCAAAGTGTAAGGAAAATCCAGCAAAATTCTAATTTTTGCCATGGTGACTACTTGGATAAATATGAAATAATTTAAAACATTTGTTATTGTTGTCTCTGCTTTGCCAGCTTCCTGAGCACATGCTGTCAGAAAATCCTGCCTGGACCAGCCCCTCCCTCACCTTGGACTTTACCTTCATTTCCTCTTTCTGCATCTGCTGAAGCTGCCAGCCAGCCCCTTTCACCCCCTGGTGGTGTCCAGACACTCCTGAGAGCCCAGCCTGGGCTCCCTGAGGGCTTGCCAAGAAAGTCAAGTAGAATGTGCACACTCCTAGAGTCCCTCATGATGAGAACTCCCATGGTGAATTGTGATTGATTTATAGTCAGCATAGCATGTTGTGCCAGGTGATTACACTTAGGCCGTTTTTAGTCATAATGATCTGCTTCTGTGATCCTATATGTGGAAATTTCTCTGTGGTCCTCCTTGCTAGATCACTGAAAGAGATTTCAAGATGCAGGCCCACTTTGCCAAGGCCATTTAGAGAGGTAAGGTGTGATTCTGGAAGTGGAGCCCAGGCCTCCAATAGGCTGTTTAAAGGCTATGACCATAATCAAATCCTGTTGCTCCTTGATTCCAAAGAGTTTAAAATAGTGCTGGAAACCTCCTAGGAAAAAAAGCACCACTGTAACTTCTTGGCTAAGGAGGTGATGGTTGCTGGCCAGAGCAGAAGGCTCCCAAGTTCTATTCTGGACCTGTTGGTTTGAGATGTGATATTCAGCAATCTCAGATGATGTCCTGTAGCTCTGATGGTTTCTCATCTTTAGCACAGAGGCTGTGCTTGCAGGGAAGGAGGCCAGCACACAGGTCTCCTGTCTTCTGGGAGAGTCTTATCATTAGATGTCCTTACTTTCACTTAAATTTCCACACACTTTTTTTTTTCATGCAGAAACATCTCCCACAGAGTTAATATAGGAACCCAGTAATGGCATCCACGTTTTACTTGACTTCCTTTTATCAGAATTGCTTTCCTTTTAGCAGTGTGATTAGATCAGCTCTTCTAAGGGATGGGAACTTTGATAGGGTTTAGGGAAGAAAGGGAAGGTTGTGTGGGGCATGCACCTTGGACAGCCAGTGAGTAACGTGAGGGTGCCTAATGAGCTAGATTGGAAAGAACACTACATCCTTAGAGCCAGGCATATATTAGATGTTTTCATTTATTTTCTTATTTAATTATCATAATGCAAATCAATAAAGTATCATCTCCATTTTTGTACATGGGCAAGCTGAAAGTCAGAGAAGGTATATAACTTGCCCAAGGTCAGACAGCTAATAAAAGGCTGAGCAAAGATTTATTTCACAGGTCTGTCCAGTTCCAAAGCCCATGTTGTTTTGACAGAGCTTTTCTGTCTCTACAAGATTTAGGAAAGGAGGGTGGGTAAAGAAGAGAAGAGAGGGAGATACCATCTTTCTCTACCTCACAGTTTTGCTCGTTGAGACATGTTTAACCAGAGCACCCTGTTTATAGAGTAGTACTAGGTTCTATATATAGAGATGCTGCAACAACATACGTGGGATAGATACCAATTGGCTGTAGGGGAAGATTAAAAAAGTCTTTGTTCTTTACCTCTAGGTCTTCACTGTAGTGTAACTCACAGTGTCAGAACACCACTGGTAACTCTGATGCACTATTTAAGAAACTCTGTCCTGTCATCCAAATAAAATCTGTTGATGTGTTCCAAGGAGTAAGCCATGATGGGGGCAGAGGTGAGGGTGTGGTGTGGCCTTAGTGCGTTTACTGGAAGCTGGTGGCACCTGTTTTGATTATTACAGTGAATTATTACTGAGTAAACAAGAGGTGTCTCTCTTTTGCCTTTCCAAGGGAGACCAGATGGCAGTGGGTATTGGCTCAGAGCCAGGGGAACCTAGCCTCTGGGCTGGCAGAGGAGAGAGCTTAAGGGTGTCAGATGATGGAATAAGAAGAGACAGGGCTGGTCTGTCAAGTAGTGTAATTTCAGGGGCCAAGAATATGTCCTGCCCCTCAGACTTGCCTCAACCATTTGCTATTGCTTGGAATTCCACAGGTGAAATTTCTTTCCCTTGATTTTGTCTTTTGAGACTCTATTAAAAATGATGAGACTCTAGGAAGGGGTTAGATTGTGAAGTATCTTAATCATGTAAGTGGAAGTATGAATGAGTTTGTGAGATTGATTTCTGAGAACCAGACTAAGGCAGGGGCAGAGAAGAGAGAACACTACGTCTCCAGTCATAGTGACAGGGAGGAGACACCACTGGGTTTGTGATAAAGGCCCTGAAAAGAGAAGTTGGGACCCTAAAGAAATGCTTTATTTTCTTCACAGTTTTGTCTGAGGAAAGATAAGGAGCTGAGAGTGGTGGGTATAGAGGCTGTTGAACTCAAGAGGGGGTGCTGGGTAGAAAGATTTCCCACCAGCATGCTAAATGTGCAGTCATGGTGTTGTCTGGAGAACAGCTGACAGGCAGAATGTAACAAGGAGGGTAGGACCTTTGGGTCTGTGGTTTGCTGTGATGTCCTCAGACAAGACTGTGATGGATCACAAGAAGCAGGAGGCAGCTTCCCAGAAATGATGTAAATGGTGGTGCAAAAGATACCACCGATGACAACACGGGCAGGGTACTTCCTCTGGCTTCTGGTCACAGACAACTTCCGGTCTTGATTTCCCAATGAGCTGTGCTGAGATAGGGCTTTACCGGAAAGTAGAATAAGCCATGTCCAAAGCAGTTGTAAAGCACTGAGGGTGTCCTACAGAGGTGCAGTTCCCCCTTGTTCACTAACTTTCTGGAGCCAAAATAGCTAAGCCAGAGGTTGCCAGCATAGTACCTGTGATTCAGATCTTCAGTGTTTTTGGATTGAATTAGCTCCTAGTAGACTGTTCATCTTTTATTTCCCAGTGCTCTCAAACGGCCTTTGTCTGAATTGTCACATCTTTTCCTCCCCCAGGGAATCTCAGTGCTTTTCCTAGCTCCTCACAGTTGGCTTCATAGATACCTTTCACCCTCAGGCCTGTCCTCCATTTCACCTTTAATTTTGGCTTTTCCCCTTGAGAGGATCAAACTCTGTCCAGTTGCCCTGCCTGGACCCCCAGCCTTGTCTAGGACTACAACCTTGTTGTCAGGCCCTTACCAAGGATTGTGGCCTTTGCTTCCCAGCCTCTCTCAGGCCAGGTCTTTTCTCCGATACTAGAATGTTTTCTTACAACTAGGCTTCGATAGGTAGAGTCCTGCCTGTGCACAGATCTCCCAGTGTTGACCACCCTGAACTCTGCCACTACACTTCGGGCTAATTGAATGTCTTGCTGGTCTATCCAGCTCTGCTTCTAGAACAACACTATTAGACTTAGTTGAGCCCCTGTCTTGAATTTCATGTTAGCTTTCCAACTGCCTCTGCCTCAAAAAGAGCTTTTAAAATGCATTTATGAAGCTCCAAAAAGGAGATAGAGAGTATAACATTTTCCAGACTTAGTTAACTAGAGAACCTTTTTTTTTCTTTTTTTGGCTGAAGAAATGTTTGAGATCTTACAGAATATAGTGTTTGGTGGAGCACAGTTTTGGGAAGGTACAAGGCTTTATCCCAAAGGAATGGACTCAAATGGAGGAATTCTAGATGAAGGTAATGTAACAGTCAGTGAAAAAAATCCTTTGAGGGTAGGAAATCTCTCCTGGTGCTCTTCATTCAGCAAATGCCCACTGAGCATCTGTTATTTACCAGTCTGTCTGCTAGAATCACACCATGTGTTTAACTACTTACTATGTGTCTACATAAGGCTAGCTCTGATCTGGAATGGAGCCCCAAGGTGGGGAAGGAGGTAAAAATTCTCCATTCTTTCTCCCACATTTGGATTCTATTTCCTTTTCCCTCTTCCTCTAGTTGAAACAGGAAGTGGTGAATGGGGTGATGCCATCATGGCCAATGGTATCATCAGCTTCTGGATCCAAGTAAAGAGGACTTCTCTGAGGCTTCTTTCTCCAGGTTTGACCTTTTCTAGGATTTCTGTAGTACTGCTGAGCACCCCTTCTCTCCCACTCTGGGACTGTTCATCTCAGCATTAGACTCAAGTCTCACTGCTAGTTCAGATTTTGACTTTACATGTGGGCATCAGTGTCAGGTGGGATGGAGCTCATTCTTATGGAATGGGTGTGACATTAATACATTTTCTACTTTGCCTGTGAAATTCCTCTTCTTTTATAGCTCATGGGCAGTCCAGACTATAACAGTTTTTCTCAACCCTTCAGTGGAGATAAACCTTCAGTGGAAATAAATGGGCAGGGCCGTCTTGTAGATGGAGAGCCATTTAAATCTGGTAGGTAGATGACCAGGTGCCAGGAACTCCAGCTGGCATAGCTGGTAACCAGAGAGGAAGCCAGTCACTTCCTATGTATGTCATTCCCAACCAGGACAGGAAAAATCACTTGAAACAGGTAGAAATCACTGACTAAGACTTCTGATTAAGAAATTTTAGGTCCCTTTGAGACCCTGTTGTATGTGTCTTTACTGTTACTAGTGAGGTCTTTGGTTGGCTGATCTTAACTCAGTTGACTGAGCTAATCATAAAACAGACTAGATGAAAAGGCTCAGCTTTGACCCTTCCCTTAGGTATGATGCTCTTTGAACATCAACAGAAAGCATCCTCTACCCACGAGCCCCACCTTACAGGCCTTGGCCTATGGCTCTTGTCCATTTCTGCCCCTTCCTCTGAAAGATCATGGTTTTAACTGTGAAGATCAGTGAGTTCATTTGCAGGAAGGCTTGAAACCCATTTAGAGATCTTAAATAGAACCAGTCAGTTATTTGGTCAGTCTGTAGGTATTTATCATTGTTAGTTCATCTGTAACTGCAGAAGGCTTGCTTTCCCCAACTAGTCTTTCCCTAACAGGCTCTCTACATGAGGATGTTTCCTAAGATTCTGTCCTTATCCCTCCCTTCTCCCTTCCCTCTGTGAACTATACATGGGTGATATCATCTGTGCTTATGATTTTAACTACCACTGATAGGTCAGAAACTCTCAAGTCTCGATCTCCAACCCAGATCTCTCTTCTTAGTTCCTGACTCACAGTGGCCAAACACTATTGACAGTATAACCTAAATGGCTCTTAGGCATTTTAAACTCTACATGTCCCAAGCCAAATTATATTCTTCATCAGCCCATCTTCTTCTCCCTATTCCCTTGTTCCTTCCTATTCCTATTCTTCTTCCTTTGTTCCTTAATTTAGAAGCGTCACCATCCAGGGTGATTAGTAAACTCATATCTGCATCACTGTCTTCCACTGTTCCCCAGCCAGGAATTTAATAGGCCCTGAGTGTAATATAAGATGTGTAGAATGTGTGTGGATGGTTTTTTTTTCTTTTTTCTTTTCTTTCTTATTGTAGTTCTTGTCTGCAAGGCATCCATAGTTGAATTCCACAGAGAAGTTAATGAACAGAAAAAAATAATAATAATTAAAGGTTAAACTGAGGCTTAGATTTTTAAGGAAAACGGCAGTTCTGGAAAGGAAAGGTCCAAGGACTAAAACCTGGTGAGAGAGCTGCATGGAAGAGGTGAGAGTTGGACTAAGGATAGCTGAGGTGAGGTAGGGACCAGAAGACCCCTTTGGGACCATGTGCAGCGGTGAAGGGATGGGGCATATAATCCTCAGCTTGTTTCTTGTATGAGCAGAGTAACCAGCACCTCCCCCACCAGCTACGTCTGTCACTACTGTACCTAGTGTAGTTGGATTCTGTTTAAAAGGTTCTGAGGATTGAGTATCCTAGTGCAACACATTAGTTAGCTGGAACCCCTTTCCCTTAAAATTTTAGCTTAAAGTGTCATTCTGTAACTTGTAGAAACTCTGATTCCTTCACCCAGAATTCACCAGATGCCTGGGAGCTCATCTATTCATGGTTACTCTGATTTTGAGCTCTTGCTTCCACTCAGTTCAGATTATAGATTATCTTTTTGTCTCCAGCATGCTGTCCTTGTTTCCATCCACACTGACCCAGGTATAGAACTCAGAAATCTCCCAGTTCAAAGCCTTTATGTGTGTAGCCGACTTTATTAAAGTTTGGGATAATGGAGAGTATTTTACATTGCAGCAAAGTAAGCAACTTGAATTCTAATACTGGCTATCCCTGTCTCTTAAAGTGCTCTGCCCACCTCTCCATTGAATTCATCACTATTAATATCACCCAGGTCTTGGTCTTTTATAATCTTATCTTTCTCTCCTCTGCAAAACTTCCTTACTCTCTTGCCACTAAGCACTCCAAATACTTCTTGCTCTCTTATGCAAAGCAGCTGAACTCTAAGTCTCCCTCCCAAGTTCACCTCTCTATATCCAAAGTCCACTGAAGGGCTCTGCAGAGTAAAAAGCTCACTGCTTCTTAGCCACACAGAGGATTTGTAGAACTTCCGATGTGTTCTTTTACATTATCTTCTCCCTTTTGGCAACATTTCTTGTTTCTAGTGTTTACTTACCCTAGAAATGGTTTTGCTTTGAAGGATCTGTGGATGGAAGGTAAGAGAATGTTCCCAGCAAAGGCAACGGTATGAATATAGACAGCAACCTACATAAAACCTATTGTGGGCAATGAAAAACCTCCTCTGACTGGAAAGAAGAATTCTTGTTGGGGAGCAAGCTCAGAATAGATTAGAGAGTTCAGAAACAGACCTAGGTTTCTATGGGATAGGATAGTATTTAGGACAGATGTCTAACCATTTAAAAGAAAATCTGTACCCTTCTAGTAAAATTAATTTTAGATAGATTAAAGACTTTTACATAAAAACTAAAGTGACAAGTATACTAGAAAATATATATATACTTTTAGTGTGGTACCAAAGGCAGAAACCATAAAGGAGAAAGGGTGGTGGATTAGCTTTAAACAATGACAACAAATACCATAAACAAAATAAAAAGTAGATGTCAACTAGTTAAGAAGAGTTTTCAGCATATCTCTTAATGTGCACAAAGCTCTTACAGATCAATAGGGAAAAAGCAAAAACACAAAAAGAATATGGGAAAAGTCATAGAAGAATAAATACAAAAGACCAATAAAGCATATAGAAAAAGGCTGTTTCATGTATAATCCAAAGAACACAAACAGAAATGAGATACCATTTTTCAATTGTTAGACTGACAAAAATTAAAAAGAAGGAAATATTTTTTGCTGGTGAGGGCTGGAGAAAACAAGAACTCATACTCTGTTGTTAGGAATAAATGTTAATACATTCATTCTCTCTGAAGTTCAGTTTGGCAGTATGTATCAAATTTAAGATGCACATGCTCTCAAACCCGTGACTCAACTTCTAGATATTTATCCCAAGAAAAGTGTACCAGAGATATAAGTATGAGGTCATTGATTACTGCAGACTTTATAAAGCAGCCAGAATGGCCATTGATAGGGGATTGGTCAGGTAAATTGTGGTATGTCCATACAGTGGTACATGAAGTAAATCTATAATTTTTGACACAGAAAGATGGCTCCAGTATATGCCTGAAAAATTATATAGCATGTGAACCTATTTCATTTGAGATAAATATAGCCATAGCTGTGTGTATATGTTTCTTAAATCATACAATTTATTGTTAACAGAAGTTATCTTTTCTGAATCAGAAAAAAAGCTGCTTAAAAAAAAGTAAGAAGTAGATTCTGACTTGAGGGTAGTGGGTGGGTTGAAACCAGTTTTTTTTTGTTTGTTTTTTAACTTTGATGGGCTAGGTAATGAATAGTGATAAAAGCAGTGATCAGGAAAGGTTTTATGGTGTGAATGGATGAAATAAATGAGTTGAAAATTGAGGTTAGGGAAACCAGTTAGGAAGCTATAGTGGCAGTCCAGGCCTGAAATACAAAATAATGAGGCCACCAGTTGGGGTAGGCAGTGGGATTATAAGGAAGAGGACCAATCTGAAGGACCTTTCATAGAAGAAACCACTGATTTGGTAGTCTGTCAGGCAAGAAGAAGATAAAGAAGAAAAATAATAAATCACTGATAATGCCAAGGTGTCTGTCCACCCTGTGAAGTTGGAAGATTACTTGTCATGAGTTATGGGGGTAACTGGAAAGGAGAACCACTCTCCTAGAAGGGGAGACAGATTTGTTTCTTGGAGTTAAATTTGAAGGGCTAGAGGGTACATCTAAATGGAAATGTTCTTTAGGCTGTGAATTCCCATTTAGAGAAAAAGTTACCTGTAAAAATAGAGGCAGTAGGTGAGAGTGGAAACTCTAGAGATTCTTGGGGGAGGGGTGGGTCATATCTCATTTCTCCCTTTCCTGTTGGCATTTGTCTCAGTTGGTACCTGAGAGTGGAGCTTGAGGAGAGGTAGGATTGGGTCTAAACATCATAATAAAACAGCAGCCACAACATTATTTTAAAATCACTCTGCCATTTACAAAGGCCATTATATACAGTAACTTATCTTAACATAATCCCATATATTATGCATTATTGTTTTGCTCCTTTTATAGGGCTGAAGTTCAAATAGAGAGTAGAATTAGGACTCAGACTCAGGTGTTTAGGCTTCAAATTGCATTTCTCATTTCTCCACTCTCCGTCTCTTAGAGATGAATTTTCCAAGGAGGGAAAGGCTAGAGGAAAAGTTGCAGCCTGGAGCTAGGGGTTCCCACAGGTAAGAGACGGGAGGAAGAAGAGAGCCCAGGGGAGACACCATGTCACTCACAGTCACTGCCCTGTCCCCTGTCCCTTGTAGGCCCTGACATTCCTCTAACCAGACATCATTGGATGTTCTGTGGAATTCAAGGTTTAAAAAAAAAGCCCTAATCTGTCAATAAATAGCTTGAGGTGTTTTAAGTAAGGTTGGCCAGTTTGGTTAGAGCAGAGCTTGTGTGGTAGCATGGTGGTTTATTGAATTCTGGCTTCATTCTTTTGAGAGCAATACAATAAAAGCATTTGACTTAGACCCATGAGGGAAGGGCTTGTCTGAATTAATTACAAGAAAAAAATTTTTTGTGAAGTCATTAGGTTTGTTTACTTTTGGAAG